AACTGCACGCGGCGCCAGCGCGTCAGCTCCTCGTCTATGGCGCGGAGGCGGGCCTCGCGGAGGCATGAGTTGCCTGACACCGCTGCGCCCCACTCTCGTGCCCCAGCCGCGCTCCAGCTACGCACAATGGGCTCACGCGCGCGTGGCCATAAGCGCGGCCGCGTCGATATTATACCGACGCCACGGTCCCCATTATATTTCTTTGGCGTACGATAGCTGACGATAAGTTTGGTCTGGGCAGGCCACGCCAGCAGCTTCTCCGCTGCGGAGAGCAACTCAACCAATGCTGAAAGGGCCTCCAGTGGTAGACGTTGGGAGTCCACGGGAGAGAGGACATCCACCCCCAGACCTGCCTTGGCCTTACCCTTGGCGCTGCTATAGATCATATCCGCGGTGGTTGCGGGGCTCCGGGTGCCCGCAGCGCCTCGAAGGAACGCGCGTTCTGCTCCATAATATCAGCAGGGTGGATCAGCATGTGGTCGCCGACCTCGAGTTCCAGGGTAGCAAGCTTGGTGAGCTTCAGACACTTATGGAGTATACCCAGGGCCTCAGGTCCGCTGACAAACTGTTTGAGCTCTGCGACCGAGGCCCGAACAGCACGGCGCTGAGGGCGAGCGGCAAATTTCTTCGCGGCCTCCATAGTTCTCCGGCGCCGCGGGATTGAGCGCAGAGGGCGAGGAGAGAACCGCAAGCCACTGATCCCAAGGCGTCTCGGCACCCTGACGGAGCACGCGGCGCGCTCCTTCTGGGCGCGTGGCTCGGAGCGCCCCGCCAGCCTAATCGCGCTCGCGTAGCTGTCGAGCCCCATTGCCACGGCATAGATGACGGTGGGCGCCTGCCAGGACAGCGTGCACTCTTGTCCACCATCGACTGTATTGATCACGAAGAGCCAGCTCTCAAACGTGGGCAATGACTCGCATTGGTTTCTCTTCAAACCTCGGATCGTCTGCTCTGGCGATCCCGGGGGCTGGCCTGCTGTCGCGATGTGCGCGGATGGCCGCTTCGACGGAGCTCGCCCACGCAGCGCGCCGTCCTGCGAGGAGCGCGCCGGCAACAGGCTCGAGCCGAAACGCTACGAAATCCGAAAGGGCGGGGGAGAGACTGGCCACCTCTTCGGATCCTGACATAAAACCCACCTGCCGACGGCATTTCATCCACGCCCTGGCGGGGATCTCAAACGCAGGGCCAGGGGCATCTTCGAGCCGAGGACCACGGGCAACCTGAGGAGTCAGGTCCGAGAGACTTCAAACCGGGGGCCTGGAAAACCGCCGAGGAACTAAGGGGCTGGGTCTCGCGCCACGCATTACCGACACTCACACTAAAGGAAACAGCCCTTTATCCAACTACAGCCTGTGCGCCGTCCGCGCCGACGCCGACTGGAGCCTGTCTGCTACCTAACTACGAGTCGCTACAAGAATTGAGCTCGCGGGCCCAAGGATCCCCCTCCTCCTCGGGCCAAGGGAATCAGCACCCACGGCATCCAACAAAGCCCTCTGGAACGCGTTGGCCCCAGGAGTGCAGCCAGCAGGAGGGCCTCAAAAAGATCGTCAAGAACGCCCTGGAAACCTTCGATCCTACGCGCAAAAGAGGCCTGACGACTGGCAGCCAGCTGGATCCTGGCCATGCTGGACTTAGAACCAGGGGCGGGCTCAGTTCTGGGCCGCGGAACCGGCGGGAGTTTAGCAGGAAGACAAAGCTCGCGGGTCCGAAGGGTTTGCCCCGAGGCCCGCAGGTAAATGGAAAGACCCACGCGGGGCGTCCACGGCACACATCTGACAACCTGTGCGCCATGAACGAATGAGACAGCACGGGGACCTATCAGGAGATAGCCGAGCATGACATCACCCTTTTCCTGCGACCATGTGCCCTGGACTCCAGGCGGCAGGCGGATGATGCCCCCCGTCTCCTTCTAGAGCGCAGACTCCCGCAGCTGCCCCGGCGCCGCGCTGAAGTCCCCCACGACCAGCCAGGGCGCCCGAAGAGTTCGAAGGAGTCCTCCAAGTCTAGCGAAGCGCTCCAAGTCGCGGCCATGCATCCCGGCGGCGGGGCGCGCATACAGGGCCGCCAAGACAATGAAGCAGCGATGCTGTCGAACGATCACCGGGTAGAAACCATCGCGCGCGGAGTGACCTGGCGCTCTCAAATGTTCGGCGGCAGCCCGCGCCTCTGAAAGCTGATGTGTCTGAAGACTCTTCTGGGACAGAAACATCTCACCGCCTTCGTTAGATCGAGCCCCCATTGCCCTCAGACGCGACCTTCCTGGAGCGGCGAGTCGAATTCCTGTCCATGCGAAGACCCAAGCGTCGAGCGGTTCGTTCCCGCTTCATGGTTTCAGACTCCTCGTGTACCATCGCCCAGCGGACGTTGCTCCTAAAATAGTGAATCACATGTTCCCAAACCTTGTTCGTGAGACTGGTAATGTTCGCATAGAACAGCCTAGCGCATTCAATATCATCAGCCTGCGCCCCCACTGTATTCTGGCTCCGAGGGGCCCCCGTCGCCGCGCGTCACTTAGTGCCAGAGCCTGCCACGCCAGCTGCCGAGCCCTTGCCCTGCGCCTTGGCGGCCTCCGGCTTCGCCGAGAACTTCGCTGCAGAGAGCTGTTTCGCTTCCTACGCGACGGCCTCCTCGCGCCCCTTGTCGGCCTGCTGGGGCGCGGCAGTGTCGGGGCCACCCGTCGCTTCGCCAGCGGCCTCGGCAGGTGCTGCAGCCGCCTTGGCCTCCTCCTGCTGTGGGCGCCATAGCAGGTGGCTGGGCCGTGGCGTCGTTGCCCTTGCGTTTTTCCTTTTTCCTCATGCGTTCTGTGATGTTCCGTTTGTAGTCACCAGCTTGCTGGAGCCATTTCTTGGTCTCCTCCTCGCGACCGTGGAAGGTGTTGCGGACCTCCTCCAGCTGCAACAGGAGTCGAAGTCCGCGAAGAACGTATCATCCCATTCAGTGGCGAAGATGCGGGTAGCCCTGCCCTCCTGCAATTCCGAGCTATCGATGCCCTCGGCCTTGGCGCAGGCTCTAGCTTCCGCCTTCTTGGCCATGAGCGCCTCGGCGAGTTCCACCGCCAACTTGCGCTCCTTCTCCTCCGCAGCCGCCATATTGCTGCGGAGGCGGATCACATTCGCCACCGCTTGGTCGTGCAAATGTTCAGCATGTTTGGCTGCGCCTTCCGCACGTTTGAGCGCGTCCACGGGCGACACGCTGGCAGACATGGCCGCAGGCGCCGCGAGCTAGCTTGCCGACGCCGCCGCGGTCGTCAGCATGCGCGTCAGGGCAGGGTCGAGCGCCAGCCCAGCGGCCTGCTGGAGGAGCTTCTTGGCCTGCATGCTGCTGTCACCACCGCCCTTGCCTCGACCGCCGCCGCCTGCGCCACGCCCAGCTGGGGAGGCACTGCGGCTGCTCCCGCGCAGGATGCCAGGATCGAGCGGCTTGGGCGACTCTTCGTCGTCTTCACTCAGAGCATCGTGACATTCGTCCCCGTGCTGACCCTGGTTGAAACGAACTTTGCGCCCATGTGTGTACAACGCCAGCTTGGTGCGGCAGTTCGGGCACAGGGAGACGCCTGCCTGCAACTCCGAGTTCCATTCACAACGCTGGCACACCGAGCAGCGAGTCCAAAGTTTAGAAGACATCCCGCGTGTTAGTCCGTGTTCCTCCTCGCTGGCAAAAGAAAGAACAATGTCTCTCAAACGCGTCGAAACTCCCGCGGGCTCTGCATGTGAGGTACGGCAATGTCTGGGGCCGTGCGCAAACGCGTCGAAGACTCCCGCGGGCTCTGCATGTGAGGTACGGCAATCGGAATCCCCCAGAACACCCAGGCCCCTGGGGCCGTGCGCACCTCAAGCCAGAGGGGCTCGAGGAGGAGGAGGAGGAGGAGGAGGAGGAGGAGGAGGAGGAGGAGGAGGAGGAGGAGGAGGAGGAGGAGGAGGAGGGAGGAGGAGGAGGAGGAGGAGGAGGGAGGAGGAGGAGGAGGAGGAGGAGGAGGAGGAGGAGGGGGAGGAGGAGGAGGAGCTTCTGGAACTTCACCAAAGACCCCTATCGTATTTTGCGCATTTGGAAAAGGGAAACTTGCGGGACCTGTGCGACCTGAGGACCTCTGCGGCCTGTGGGGCCTGTGAGACCTGCGACACCTTTGAAACTTGTGCAACCTGTGGGACCTGTGGGACCTGCGGGAACAGCGGGACCTGGAAGACCTGCGAGACCTGTGGGACCTGTGGCACCAGCGGCACCTGCGGGAACTGTGGGACCTGAGGGACCCCTATGTAACATGTGAGAAATGCGACACCTCTGGAACCTGTGAGACCTGCGGGACCTGTCAGACCTGTGGAACCTGTGGGGCATGAGAGACCCGCAACAACTTTGGGACTTGTGAAACCTGTCAGATCTGTGGTGCCTGAGGGACCTGTGGGACGGGACGACCTGCGACACTTGTGGGTCCTGTGGGACCTGTGGAGGCTGCGAAAACTGTAAGACCTGTGGGATCCAGGAAAAAATGGCCCACGCTGGGGCGGGATCTCCATTCTGGACGACGGGAGCACAGCGCCGATCCGAAAACGAGGCCCATGGTGGAACGAGGGTACCATTCTTGGAAAAACTGTAATCCATCGGATTGCAAAAAATCATGTGAAAAGCCAGCTCGCGCAAATCCTGTGCGTAAAAAAAAGACGCAGAGGGGGGCGAACACTCTCAGCATATATTCGGGGGAGAGAGGAGAGGAGTATTCAAATTGTGTACTTGCGAAGAGAAGAGGAAAGGAGGGCGGGGGAAGGGAAGGAGAGGTGGAGAGGAAGGAGGGGTAACGAGGGGTACAAGGAGAGGAGCACGATGAGGAGGAAGGAGAGGAGGAGGAGCAAGAGGAGGAGCAAGAGGAGGATGAGCAAGAGGCGGAGGAGGAGAAGGAGGCGCAGCAGCAGCAGCAGCGCAGCAGGAGGAGGAGAGGAGGCGATGACGGGGAGGCCCGGGCGAGAGCGGCCGGCCCCCATCGCGTCGGCGCCGCACGGCGGCAGGGCCTTCTCGCGGTCCCCCACCACCGAGTGCTTGTCGTGCGCCTGGCCAGCTCCCAGCACAGGGGCGGCGGCGGGGGGCCCGCCGAGCGCGCGAGCGCGCGCGCGCTGGCTGGCTGGAGGGAGGGATGGGCTCCGGAAGGAGGAGGAGGAGGAGGAGGAGGAGGAGGAGGAGGAGGCGGAGGAGGGAGGAGGAGGAGGAGGAGGAGGAGGAGGAGGGGGAGGAGGAGGAGGTAGGAGGAGGAGGGAGGGGAGGAGGAGGAGGAGGAGGAGGAGGAGGAGGAGGAGGAGGAGGCGGGAGGGCGGGAAGGAGGAGGAAGGAACGCGGGGCGCCGTCTCTTCAAAACGAGGACCCAACACCACAAGACTGGTGGGAAAAGGCTTAGCCACAATGACGGAACGGGGGTGGCTTTCAAACTGAAGTCGCATTAGCGTGTCGGACATTCCTCGTTCGAGCCTGCAAATAACTGCAAGGATAGAGGGCGGATTCTTCTGAATTACTCACTGCGTGGAGCTCCCCATATGTGCATATATTCGCATGGACCTGTCCGCCGTGAATGTCTAGGCGCAAGAGGTTTCGAATATAAACGGGCTTCAGTTGTGACGGTCTGGTCATGAATCTAACTGCGAATGACTTGGAGTGTGAATGAGCCTCAGTAGTACGAGCGTGTCTCTGCGCATGAGCCTGGGGCCTCCTGGGGCCTCCTAAAACCTACTGGGGTTTCCTGGGGCCTCCAGGAGCCTCTTGGGGCCTCCTGGGGCCTCCTGAAACCTCCTAGGGAGGATTCGTGCCCCAGGGGAGGCCCAATCAATAGCAACAGACGTACATAAAACATTGCGGGTTGGAGCCACAGGAGAAGGGCAATCTATAGGAACACACGTAAAACACCAAGGACTCGTGCCACAGAAGAGGCCCTATATATATATGTGTGTATATACATATACATACATACATACATACATACATACATACATACATACATACATACATGCATACATGCATGCATGCATGCATGCATGCATACATACATACATACATACATACATACATACATACATACATATAGGGACATAAGTTAAACAGTTAGCACTGTGTACACAGGAGAAAGACAATCTATAGAAACATCGGAGGTGAAGGGGTGAGATCGAAGTGGAACGGAGAGCCCCCCTACCGGGAAATCGGTTTCGGTTTCGTGTTCGTGCGTGCCGCAGGTGCGGGCGAGGCGAAGCTGCGTGGGCGGGCGAGAAATAAGTCTCCTGTAGCTGAGGCGCGGCCGGACCAAAAATCTCCGTTCCGGCAACCGGTGCCCCGCGGTGTCCCGCCGGTGTCCCGCTCGGGGGCCAGTGGCGCGCGGTGTCCCGCCGGTGTCCCTCCGGTGTCCCGTCGGTGTCCCGATGATGATGATGATGATGATGATGATGATGATGATGATGATGTTGGTGATGTTGACAATGATGATGGTGATGATGATGATGATGATGGTGATGATGATGATGGTGATGGTGATGGTGATGGTGGTGGTAATGATGATGGTGTCCCGATGATGATGATGATGATGATGATGATGATGATGATGATGATGATGATGTTGACGATGTTGATGATGATGATGATGATGATGGTGATGGTGATGATCATGGTGCCCCGATGGTGATGATGATGATGTTGCTGATGATGATGATGCCCCGATGATGATGATGATAATGGTGGTATTGATTATGATCAGAGGATTTGATGATGATGATGATGAAGATGATGGTGATGATGGTGTCCCGATGATGATGATGATGATGATGATGAGGTTGCTGATGATGCTGTTGATGATGATGGTGATGATGATGATGGTGTCCCGATGATGATGATGACAATGATGATGATGACGATGATGGTGTCCCGATGATGATGAGGAGGATGATGATGAGGTGATGATGATGATTTCGATGATGGTGGCCCAATGATGGTAACGATGATGATGTTGATGACGATGGTGTCCCGATGATGTTGGTGTTGATGATGATGATGATGATGGTGACGATGATGATGGTGTTCCGGTGATGATGATGATGTTGATGATGATGTTGCGAATGATGATGATGATGATGATGGTGTCCCGCTGGTGATGATGATGATATGTTGATGTTGTTCATGACCATGATGGTGAGATGATGATGGTGGTGTTGCGATGATGATGGTGATGATGATGACGGTGATGCTGATGACGGTGATGATGGTGTCCCAATGATGATGATGATGATGATGGTGATGCTGATGATGGTGATGATGATGGTGATGCGGTGGTGATGATGGTGTCCCGATGATGATGATGATGAGGAGGAGGAGGAGGCGAATGATGCTTAGTATATTGATTACGATGATGTTGATGATGCTGATGATGATGCCGTTGATCGTGAAATCGATTGTGATATCGATAGTGAGATCGATAGTTAGACCAAATGTGAGACCGACTGTGACATCGACAGTGAGATCGATAGTGATATCGATTGCGAGATCGATAGTCTGATCGATTGTGAGATCGATCGAATGAAATAGATCGAGTGAGATCGATTGTGAGATCGATCGAGCGAGACCGATAGTGAGATCGATTGTGAGATCGGTAGTGAGACCGATCAAGTGAGACGTTGGTTCCCCCCCCCAAAAAAAAACCTCCTTATCACCCGAAGGGTGGTCGTATAGGTTCGTATAACATCAAGGATTCGTGCTCCAGGTGAGGCCCAATCTATAGGAGCATACGTAAAACACATGGGATTGGAGCCACTCCTGTTGCATTATGAGGCCTCCTGCTCCTGGGGCCTCTCGGGGCCTCCTGTTGCCTTCCGAGGCCTCCTGGCACTTCCTGTGGCCTCCTGCGGCCTCAAGTGGTTTCCCGATGCCTCCTGGGGCTTCTTGGGGCCTCCTGGAGCCTCTTGGGACACCCTGTGGCCTCGTGAATTTTTCTGTGGCCTCCTGATGCCCCCTGGGACCTCATGTGGTCTCCTGGGGTTTCCTGGAACCTGTTGGAGCCTCCTGTGACATCCTGAAAAGAATGTGTGCCCACGAGTCTGGCCACCAAAACAAGCAAACCGATCGAGCCATCTTCAAAATCTGGCCCACCTGGGGGTGGACATGAGCGCCTCGCTCGAGACATCCTCCAAATCTGCTCCGAAAACGAAGGATGCTGGGACAGAAAACAAGCAAACCGCCTGAGACATCCCCACGCAACGGCCGCGAACGGGACCGTGAGGTAACCCCTGGCGGCTCCCCTAGGGGGGTGAAAATGAGCGCCTCGCTCGAGACATCCTCCACATCAACTCCGAAAGCGAAGGATGCTGGGGCAGAAAACATGCAAACACCCCCACAAAACGGCCGCGAACGGGACCGTGAGATAACCCGTGGCGGCTCCCCTTAGGGAGGTGAAAATGAGCGTCTCGCTCGAGACATCCCCCAAATCTGTTCTGGAAGCGAATGATGCTGGGACAGAACACAAGCAAACCGCTTGAGACATCCCCACACAACGGCCGCGAACGGGACCGTGAGGTAACCCCTGGCGGCTCCCTTTAAGGGGAGTTAGTATGAGCGCCTCGCTCGAGGCATCCTCCAAATCTGCTCTGGAAGCGAATGATGCTGGGACAAAACGCAAGCAAACCGCTTGAGACATCCCCACAAAACGGTCGCGAACAGGACCGTGAGATAACACCTGGTGGCTCCCCTTAGGGAGGTGAAAATGAGCGCATCGCTCGAAACATCCTCCAAATCTGTTCCGAAAGCGAAAAATGGTGGGACAGAAAACCAGCAAACCGCTTAAGACATCCCCACACAAGGGCCGCGAACGGGACCGTGAGGTAACCCCTGGCGGCTCCCCTTAGGGGGGTGAAAATGAGCGCCTCGCTCGAGACATCCTCCAAATCTGTTCCGAAAGCGACGGATGCTGGGACGGAAAACATAATGTGAGTAGGAGTCTCACCATGAGTAAGTCTGAGTAGGAGTAGGTCTGAATATGAGTAGGTCTGAGTACGGGTAATTATGTGTGTGAGTAAATCTGGGTATGGGCAAGTCTGAGTGTGAGCAAGTCTGTGTATGAGTAAATCTGGGTATGAGGAGAAGAGGGGAGGAGAAGGAGGAGAAGGAGGAGGAGTAGGAGGCGCCCAAATAATAATTACTCGGCGCGGGGCTCCCCATATGTGCATCTCATTATCTTGGTACGTATTTCTCTTGATATCTGTCAATGAGCGCCTGTGTGCGAGGGCGAACCGCTCGCTCGAGACATTCCCACAGTCTGCAAGCATGAGTGCGACCAATCGCAAATGAGAGCGACCGATTCTGAGTGTGAGTTAACCAGGGTGCGATTGAGCCTGGGTTTGTGTGGGTATGCGTGTGAGTAAAAATGAGCGCGAGCGCGTATGTGTGCGAGTGGGTCTGAGTATGAACGAATCTGAGTGTGAGCCAGTCTGTGATTGAGCGGATCGTAGCATGATGAGTCTGAGCATGAGTGAGTCTGGGCTTCAGTGGGCCTGAGTGTGAGAAAAAGTGTGTGTTAAGGAACCTGAGTGCGAGTGAGCCGAGTGTGATTGGGTGTGGATGTGAAGCAGTCTGAGTGTGAGTCGGTCTGCGTTTGAGCGGACCGGAGGATGATGAGTCTGAGCAGGAGCGAGTCTGAGTATGAGTGGTTCTGAGCGTGAGTCTGCGCGTGAGTAAGTTTAGGTATGGATATGAGCGAGCCTATGTGCGAGTGAGCCTGTGTGCGGCTGAGTCTGAGTATGAGTGGCTATGAATGCAGAAGAGTGAAGGAGAGCGGAGAGCGAAGGAGAGTGAGGCGGAAGCGTTTGAGTAAAACCTAAAGTGTTGGAACATCGAAGCTCGATCGTCTGGCCCTGGCTACTCGAGTTGCCCACGTCCTCCTCCTCCTCCTCCTCCTCCTCCTCCTCCTCCTCCGCCTCCTCCTCCTCCTCCTCCTCCTCCTCCTCCTCTCCTCCTCCTCCATCATCATCATCATCATCATCATCATCAG